CGTTCCTAATCCTTTCCCTTGATCTCCCCCCCACCCCCCCACCCCCAGGAAAACTCAGGCTGGACCCGGGCGCCCCCCCCCCCCCCCCTCGCTGCCTCTCCTAAAGCTATGCACTAGTTTAAATAGGGCTCCTTGAATAAACATTTGGGTTTATTGCCTCAATTCCCACCACCGTTAATGTGGCTTCTCTGCCGTGGTTTCTGGAGGGGTCCTTGGGGGTCTCTGAGGTTGGTTGCTTGCTTGCAGCTGGTTCCTCGTTGTGAGAAAAGGACAACTAGGCCCTAAGGTTCGTGTAGGCCTCTAAAGGCCTCCAAGGAACAATATCTAATAACGCCATCCGAGCTGATTTTGCAAGCAGGGCGAAACACTTGCAATCTGCTGAGCTGATTTTGCAGGCGCAGCAGTAGGTTTCCTATCTGCTACTTCTGCAAAAAGCGTATATTTGCTGGAATATCCAAAACAGGAGCTATTTTGGATCACGAATGTCTGGGACGTTGAGAAAATTCTAGACCTAGAAAACCTAGAACTACACCGTCTTCGGTCCGATCTAAGTATAGTATATAAAACCATACATTGCAATGTCCGACCTGTCAACGAATACTTCACCTTCAACCATAACCACACAAGAGCAAACAATAGATACAAACTCAAGGTAAACCGCACCAAACTTGATTGCAGGAAATACGACTTCAGCAACAGAGTGGTCAATGTCTGGAATCCTCTACCTGACACTGTAGTTTCTTCCCCAAACCCCAAAAACTTTAACCTTAGACTGTCTACTATTGACCTCACCCCTTTCCTAAGAGGTCTGTAAGGGGCCTGCATAAGCGCACCAACATGCCTACCGTCCCTGTCCTATTGTTTTTTATTTTTCTTATATGTACCCATTTCATGTATTCAAAACTATGTATACACTTATACTTATTATCTTGTAAACAATTGACAAATCAAATAAATAAATAAATAAAAAAGGGAACTGAAAGTAGCAGACGGTAAGCAAGTTGGCAAAGAGTTGGCATACACCTACAAGTGGATATCAAGTGATGGACAGCATGAGGGAACAGGGAAGCACATCCAGTAAGATTACATACCACTGGGTGGGCTTCAGAAGAAGAAGAACGGGGTAAACCTCAAATCAGGGCCACCAATGGTAGCTATTCCTTGCTGGAGTTCGCCACTATCTCTGGACCTCCTTGCAATGGGTTGTTATTAAATACTATCTTACCAGAAATGTTATGTTATGGTGGCTTTTCATGTTCCGAATTGCTCATGAAATAAACCTCTGATCTCAAAATAAGCTTGTGGTTTGTCTGTGTATTTCCTTTACTGAATTATTTTTATAACATCATCAAACTAGGTATCATCATCAGTGCACAAGGCTACATACTCCCTTCTAGCACTGGGTGATGTTACCTAGTTGGGTCATGAAACGTCTGCAAGAAAACAGCCGAGCTCAGAGAACACCCCGTACCCTTCATTTTAACCCTGAGCTAGAAAAAGTGCAGAGAAGAGCAACGAAGAGAATTAGGGGACTGGAGGCTAAAACATATGAAGAATGGTTGCTGGAACTAGATAGGTCTACTTTGATGAAAAGAAGGACTGGGGGTGACATACGATCTTCCAATATCTCAGGGGTTGCCCCAAAGAAGAAGGGGGTCAAGCTATTCTCCAAAGCACCTGAGGGCAAGACGAGAAGCAACGGATGGAAACTAACCCAGGACGGAAGCCGAACAGAACAATTAACCCGTGGAACTGCTTCCCACCAGAAGCTGTGGGAGCTCCAACACTGGAGGTTTTTAAGAAGAGACTGGACAGCCACTTGGGTCTCCTGCCTGAGCAGGGGGCTGGACTAGAAGACCTCCAAGGTCCCTTCCCGCTCTATTCCATTTTGGTTCATGGTGACATTCGTACATGAGAGAACAGAAACGTCCAGAGACCAGCCCAGTTCTCTCCGGAGGGGAGGGGGAAGCAGGCCAGGAGAAGCAGACCTGACTTGTGGGGGGGAGGGGGAGCTGGCCAGCCAAGCCCCCTCCCTGGGGTGGGGGGGGGGAGAGAGAGAAGCAAACACATTGTAAATTTTGATAACGCCACCTGGAGACCTTCGAATCCCCAATCCCCAGGTCAGCATACTAACCCCACTATCAAACTAGAGCTGGAAGGGACCTTGGGGTCTTCTAGTCCACCCCCTACTCAAGCCGATACACTTCAGAGGAGTGCCCACAACTTCCGGCGGCAGGCAGTTCCCCTGGTTCATTGTCCTCCTCCCTGTTCGGAAGTTCCTCCTTCGTTCCAGGTTGCTTCTCTCCTGGATGAGTTTCCATCCGTTGCTTCTCGTCCCACCTTCAGGGGCTTTGGAGAATAAATTGGCCCCCTTATCTCTGAGATAAGCCAGTGAATAGAAACTGGACTTAACTGCAAGTCAGCTTGCTGTGAACGTTTTCTCACAAAGGGACTTTAAATGTGAACATTTTAAAAGGGGTGTGTGTGTGTGTGTGTGTGTGTGTGTGTGTGTGTGTGGTGTGAAATCTCATATGGTAGTTTTTTTTATCCTGAACGCAATTCATCTTCATGTGTACCACCACAAAAACTTTGCTGTTTTTTCAATTTGTAGTTTATTTATTTAAGAACATTTAAGAACATTTTTATGACTTCCCGCTCACTTTGGGTGACTCTGGAGCGGGACGGAGGGTTACAAAAACCCAAAATACAAACTAATAAAAATATACCCCCCACCCCGTGTTTCTCCATTCTGAGCAAGTTTGAAAATTACTCTGCCTGTTGGGCAATTGCATGACAACAGACAGCCGTTTTAAGGCGAGGGTTTCCAAACTAGGCAATTTTAAGACTGGTGGACTTCAACTCCCAGAATTCCCCAGCCAAAGGACCATTTGGGAGCTCCAGGCCGGGGCAGCGTTCCCTCCCATGGGCTGAACTGGGTCAGTAGTCCACCAAGGTCCACTGAAGGGTCCAGGGAGTAACTCTAGGAAGACTTTATGCAGCCACCAGGACTCTGGAAGCCCACGGATGTTCTCCGCCCACCTAGGTCGAGTTTGTCCCAAAGGTGGTTTTTGAAAAGATAATTGGCCTTTGCTTTTTTTTTCCTTGAAGACATTTCCCTTCTCATCCCAGAAGCTTCTCCAGTTCTGGCTAAATGGTGCGTATGGGGGGGGATTGGAAGGAGTATTCTCAGAGAGAGCGCCAAAGATCAGAGGACTGCACAGTGTTAGGAATAACAAGGTTACCTAACGTAGTTTGGGTAAAATAATATATATAAACTATGATAGTAAGTTTAAGTGTGCGTCACTTTAAACTGTAAAGCATGTAATTTTGGGTGCGGTTGTGAACCGCCATAAGAGGGAGCAAGAGAACCTGCTGGATTGCTGACGATTGCTGGATTGCCTGATTGATGGTTTGTTAACTGCGTGTTCCCTGCTGCTGAGTTTTGGAACGTCAAAGGAAGAAAGAAGGTTTGACTTCTTCACATCTCTACCGCGAGGAGATATATTACTGGACTGATATTTGTAAGTTTACTGACCTCTCTTTTTCGACACTGGACTTTGCAACTGAATAACCCCCAGACGGACTGAATTAGTGAATGATATATGGACTGTTTTGACTATGCTAAAACTCTTACTGGAATAAACCATTTAACTAGCACGGTGCATCCGTTTTACTGAGTGTAAGCTACAAAAACGTTTATCTCACATATTTTGCCTGCCTGCCTGCCTGCCTGCCGTGCAGATTCTGCTAGGGTGTCTCCCTAACACACAGCATGTAAATCCTTCCATTCCCCACCATTCAGTCAGAACTGAAGAGGCTTCTGGGATGAGAAACACCTTTGGGTCCCGGTCAGTGTCTCTCTCTCTCTCTCTCTGCCCACCCCCCCCAGTGAAGCAGCAGGTAGGGGGATGGGGGGAAGGGCAGGAAGAATGAACAAAACTCCAGGGCTGGAGGAAGAAAAGGGGAGGGAGAAGTTGGAATTTCTGCACTCAGAGAAGAAACGCTACACCAATGACAAAAAAAAACAAGTGTCCTTTTATTCGGACCGGACCTGAGTCTACAAACCTTAGAAAAGAGAAATACGTACAAAAGTCAGAGTCAAACGTGAAGGTGCTTCCATGCTGGACTTCCTGAGGCTGGGGGAGGGAGGGGGGGGGGGGGGGTGCCCCTTCGAATTGGGAGCGGAGGGCCAGCCGTCCATCCTGCAAGACGGGGAGGGGGCCCAACTCGGCAGCTCTGGGAAGGAGGGCTTGTGCTGCCCCAGAGAGTTCAGGGGTCGCAGGCCTCAAGTTGCCCCCCCCTCTGGGGTCTCTGGGTCTTCCAAGCCGGTCAAGAGCTGCTGCAAACACTGGCGGATCTCATCCCGGCCGCGATAGGCCTTCTTGGTGCCCCGGGGCAGCTGGCGGCAGGAGGAGAGGTTGAGGTAGCTGAGGGAGGGGCAGCTGGCAATCAGGGTCCTTGCCGGAGGGGGGAGGAAAGAGAAGGGACTTCGGTTAGGGCCACGACAGGCATCGACGGACGACCGCAAGGTCTGCTGCCAAGAGACGGTCGTTAAGCGAGTTCTGCCCCATGTCTGCCCCTTTCTTGCCGAAGCTGTTTGTAGAGTCACTGCAGGGCTTAAGTTAGTAACAGTCGTTAAGCGAACCTGGCTTCCCCAATTGACTTTGCTCGTCCAGAAGATCGAGGGCCCTCCCCCAACCTGCCGGCCTTCCCCTAGCCGAGCCCCCACAGGCAGGTGGCAGGCTGGGAGGCTGGCAGAGATGGGCGTTCTTGGCTGTGCCAATTCCTGGAGGGGTCGGCAGTTCAAGTCCCACCAGGCTCCAGGTCGACTCAGCCGTCCCTCCTTCCGAGGGGGGTCAAAGGAGGACCCCAAATGGTGGAGGGCAACAGGCTGACCCTGCAGACCACTTAGAGAGGGCTGCAAGAGCGTTATAAAGGGGTGTACTAGTCTAAGGGCTATCGGCAGGGGGAAGACCCTCCTTTTCCTGGGACGAAACCCCTTCTGGGATCCAGGACCTCCAGGTGCCCCAGTGCAGGGGTGCCAAGCCTGTGCCCAGCCTGCCATAGGCCGTGGAGTTGGCCCTCCCGGAGACAGGGAGGGGCCGGCCCAGCCACGCCCAGGCCATGCCCCCCCCGGCCCCCCCAGGGCAAACAAATTCCCGATGCCCCTCCCTGCCCGCTGGGTCTCTGCCCTCCCTGGTTTCTTGGCTCTGCAGGTGGAAGCAGCGAGGGGGAGGGGGAGGGGGAGGGAGAGGGGGGGCCCTGCCCGGCTCACCTGACGGTCCGGAGGGCAATCTTGGTCCCCGTGAGGCTGAGGGAGCGCAGCAGCGGAGCCCCTCCCTGAGTGAAGGCGGCCATGGCCTCCTCCAGGTCCTCCTCGCTGAAGCCCTGGCTGGTCAGGTCGAGCTCCCGCAGGCTGTGCCGCCACTTCCAGGTGAGGAGGGGGCTGCCTTCCAGAGGCCGGGACAGGCTGCGCTCGCTGTAATGCAGGCCCAAGTAGAGCTGCTCCAGGTCTGCGGGAAAGGCTTCCGAGGTCAGCGGGGAGAAAGACCCCCGCCCTGCCGGAGCCCCTCCCCTCGGGAGGCAGGGGAGGGGTCCCCGGGGAGCCCGTCTGCCCCACCCGGCCACCATCACCGGCTGCTCCAGCCAGTCTCCCCAAGGACCTGGGAAGGCCCAACGGCTCCTGAGGGCACCGTCGGCCTCCTGCCCGGAAGAGGCAAGGGCACTTTTCAACCCAGGAGAGCTGGAAGGGACCCTGGAGGTCTTCTAGTCCAGCCCCCTGCTCGAGCAGGAGACCCTGTACAATTTGAGTCAAGTCTCTGCCCAGGCTCTTAGAAACCTCCAGCAGCCACAACCTCTGGTGGCAGGTGGTTCCCCTGGTTAACTGTCCTGTCAAAAATTCCTCCGTAATTCCAGGTTGCTCCTGCCCTTGACTTGTTTCCATCCTTTCTTTCTTGCCCTGCCTTCGGGGGCTTTGGAG